GTAAGTGCTTGCCTGGCAAGCACAGAGTCCTGAGTTCAATCCCTGGTACTGAAAAAAAAAAAGTCCTCCTGGACAACCAATAAGTCACAGATGAAACTTACAAAAGAAATGGATACTTTCTACAATTAAACAACAATGCCAATTCAAGACACCAGAACTTGTACTTGGACACAAAAAAAGCAGTCCTATGAGGGAAATTTATACTGGTGAATTCCACTATCAGAAAAAAAGAGAATGAGCTTTAAAAAACAACCTAATATTGAACCTCAAGCTTCTAGAAAAATGAAAACAAGTCAAGCCCAAAGCTCATACAAGGGAAGAAATAATAAAGATCAGAGCATAAACTGATGCACTGCAACTAAGAAAACAACACAAGAATTAATGAATCAAAGAGTTAGCTCTTTAAAAGAGTAACAACAATTGAAAAACCCTTAGCCAGCTTTATCAAAAAAAGGAAAGAGTGGTGACAGTGGTCAATTTAGTTCCAGACTCAAATCCACATAATTAGGAATGTAAAGAGTAAAAGCCAAATGGACCCTGCAGAAATCCAGATGATCATCTATACCTACTTTTAGAATCTGTATTATAGTAAGATGGAAAATACAGAAGAAATGGACAAATTCCTAAATACATATGAATTACCAAGCTGATATAAGGAGATATAAAAATTCTAAATAAACTAATATCGGCTAATGAAATTAAAGATATAGTTCAGAGCCTACCCACAAAGAAACGCCCAGGCCCTTATGGATATACTGTTGAACTCTGCAAGAAATTTATTTATTTATTTATTTATATTTTGTTTGTTTGTTTGTTTGTTTGTTGGCAGAACCAGTGATTGAACTCAGGCCCTTGCGCTTGCCAGGGAAGCGCTTATTCTACTGAGCTATCTCCCTGACCCCTCTACAAGACAGTTAGAGAAGACCTAATGCTGCTACTTCTCAAATTCTTTAATAAAATCAAAAGGTTTGAAGAAGTACAGTGGTCCCTCACTTATCCCACTGGTTACATTCCAGACACCCCGGCAATAAGTGAAAATCAGCGCAGCAGTGACACTGTATTTATTTTAGTATTTATATATATTTAAAGGCTTTATAAACCCTTCCCACACTGTTATAAACCTTTCCCACACTTTTTTTTCACTTACGATTTGGAACAGGGTCTCACTATGCAGCTTTGACTGTAGTGATCTTCCTGTTTTCAGCCTCCCCAGCACTGGGATTACAGGCCTGCACCACCACTCTGGGACTCGGTCACTGGCTCAGCGCACCGTAGGGGTGGGGCCAGCAGAATGTGCAGGACGGGGATCGAACCCTAGTCCCTGTGCTTGTCAAAGCAGGGGCTTAGTGCACAGAGCTATCTTGCCAGCCCTTTCCCACACTTCTAATGTTCTTACACTTCTAATGTTCTTCTAATGTTTTTAACCGTTTTCTAAACTCATAAACCTATGTAATTTTAACAAGATATACATACTGGACAGTACTGCAAAACCCTGTGATAAAGCGAAAAATTCACAATCAGTAATTTAGATTAATATTTTTTGAAAACCCACAAAATAATGAGTCCATGAAAGTCAAACCACGAAATAGTGAGGGACTACTGTACTCCCAAAGTCATTACCTTAATAAAACCACAGAAGGATCTAACCAAAAAAGGGACAACAGGCCAATTTCCCTAATGAGCATAGATGAAAAAATCCCCAATAAGTTATTGGCAAAAAGAATGCAGCAAATCATCAAGATTACACATTGTGCCCAAGAGGGATTCATCCCAGGGAAGCAGGGATGGTTCACCATATGCAAATCAATAAATGTAGTACACTGTATTAACACACCCAAAGGCAAAGACCACATGATCATCTAAACAGACACAGAAAAAGCATTTGATAAAGTCCAACATCTATATGATAAAAACTATGGAAAACTGGAGTAGATGGACTTTATCTCAATCTGATAAAAGCCATCTAAGAAACCAACAGTCAACATCATACTAAATAGAGAAAAAGTGAGTTTTCACTATAAAATCAGGAACAAGACAGGAATGACCACTGTCACCACTCTTACTCAATTTAGTTCCAGAAACATAAGCAAAAGCAATTGGAAAAGAAAAAGAAAAGGAATAAGGATAGGAAGGGAAAAAGTTAAATTATCATTATTAGCAGATGACAGGATACTTTACATAGAAAACACCAAAATTGGGGCTGGGGAGATGGCTCAGTGGAATAAGCGCTTCCCTGGCAAGCGCAAGGGCCTGAGTTCAATTCCCGGTTCCACAAAAAAAAAAAAGAAAGAAAGAAAGAAAGAAAACACCAAAATCTCTACCCAAAAGACTTTTAGATGTAATAACGCAGAGAATTAATGAATCAGAGATAGTTCTTTAAAAAAGTAACATCAAATTCAACAGTGTAGCTGTCTACAACATCAGCACTCAAAAATTAATAGCATTCCTATACACAAACAACAAACTCACTAAGAGAGAAGTTAGGGAACCAACACTTTTCACAATAGTATCCAAATAAATGAAATACCTAAAATCAGTGTAATGGAGGAAGTACAAGACCTTTACAATTAACACTATAGTGCTCTGAAAAGGATCGAAGAGGATATCCAAACATGGAAAGACATCCCCTTCCCAAACATGGAAAGAATCAAAATAGCAAAAATAGCCATACTTTACACTTGTTATATAGATTTTAAACAATCCTGGTCAAAATACAAGTTGCATATCTCACGCAATTAGACCAATCAATACTAATATTAATTTGGAACCAGACAAGACTTAAAATAGCAAAAGCAATTCCGGGGAACAATGGCAAGGAAGGAGACATCACAGTCTCTGACTTAAAATTATACTGCAAAGGAACTGTGATGAAAACAGCATGGTGGGGAGATGGCTCAGTGGAGTAAGCGCTTCCCGGGCAAGTGCTAAGGGCCTGACTTCAATCCCCAGTTCCGCCGAAAAAAGAATAAAGAAAGAAAACAGCATGGCACTGGCAAAAAATCAGACCCAAGAATTGGTGGAGTACATTAGAAGATGCAGAAATAACTCCATACACACTCAGCCACCTTATCTTTGACAAAGGAGCCAAACACTTTCACTGGGAGAAAGATTGCCTCTCTAAAGGTTACCTCTCAAATAAATGGTGCTGGAAAAACTGGCGTCCACACGTTAAGGGGTAAAACGAGGCCCATATCTTTAAAGATTTTATGAACAAAACCCAATTGCACAGAAAATATCAGAAATATCAGTAACTGAAATCTCATCTTATTAGAAACCTTTTGCAAAGCAAAGGAAGCCAACAGAGTAAATAGACAACCTACAACAAGGGAAAAAATCTTTGCCGGGTGTTCCTCAGATAAAGGACTAATGTTTAGAGTATACAGAACGCAAAAAGTTAGATCTCCCAAGTTTAAAGATCCAATCCAACAATGGGCTTCTGAAATTTGACACTGCTGATGAAGAAGTAGAAATAGAAAAAAAAAAAGAAAAATTGTCGACGTCAATGGTCATTTCAGAGATGCAAATTAAAACAACCCAACAGGAAAATGGATAAATCTATCAACAGAAAAATTGACAAATTCTGGCATTAGTCTAAGAACACACTATTAAAACATGCTGAAATATGAACAAGATTACAAGCATGTAATCACAGGGTTAAAACTTAAAAAAAAAAAAAAAAAAACAAGTTGAGGAATGATACACATAGTATGACGTTTATATAAAGCATAATGTCAAGGGCTGGGGAGATAGCTCAGTGGCACAAGCACCTGACTGGCAAGTGCAAGGTCCTGAGTTCGATATCCCATACCCCACCCCCCAAAAAAGTCAAAATAATTGTATAATCTTATATAAACAGCATCAAAATCTGTGTAATATTTACCTTTTTTTTTTTTTTTTTTTTTATATTTTAGTACCAGGCCTACAGGGTGTCACTATGTAGAATGGACTCATAGTGATCCACCTGTGTTCAGCCTCCCAAGACCTGGGATTATAGGCGCGTACCACCATGCCCAGTCTCAATCGTCCTCTCAGTGGGCCCCAGGGGCAGGGCCAGCATGGCACGCCTGCGGTCAAACCCTGGCCACTGCACCTGCCTAAGCAGGTGCTTTAACCCATTGAGCTATTGGCCTGCCCTAATATTTATCTTTAGATTTTGAGTATCTACAGTATTCCATTTCTTTTCTAAAGTTCTAAAGCAACTATAGCAAAACTATTAGGATAGGTACTCAGCCCCCATACTGTTTTGTTTTGTTTAATTTATTTATTTTCATTTTATGTATTTGGTACAGCATCTCACCATGTAGCCTGGACTCATAGTGATCCTCCTGTTTATAGCCTCCCAAGCACTGGGATTACAGGCATGTGCTACCATGCCTGCACTTGCCAAAGAGACACTTAGTCTGCTAAACTATCTTGCTGGCCCTCAGTCCCCATATTGTGAGAAAGCACAAACTAGTCCATGTGGAAAGACCTCACGAAAAGATCCACATGGAAAAGAGAGTACAATCTATAGTCAGGTGCCAGACATCTAAGTGAACAAGGCTTCAAAAGACTTGAGTTGTATTAGCCCTTGACTCTTCCCACTGAATCCCCAGACATTATGCAGAGACCAGCTGTCCCTGGGATCCAAATTCCCAGTTCATTCATCAGTATAAATAACTGGTTATTTTATGACACTGAGCTTTGGGTTAACTTATTTTAAGACTGGGGAAACAGCTGGGCATGGTAGTGTACACCTATAACCCCAGCACCCAAGAGGCTGAGCCAGGAGGATTGCTGTATACTCAAGGCCAGCCTATATCATGAAGACTGTCACAAAGAATAAACAAGCATACAAACAAAATCCTAAGAAAACAGAACATCCAAATACCAGAATGAACTAAAAAAAAAAAAAATAACCCCAGTACCTATTATAAGGTTTCAGCCCTGTTCATTAAATTTATACAATGGCTATACAGCTATAAACTTCCCTAAGTTTAGTAACGAGGACAGCTTCTTACCTCTAAACTTCCAGAATGTGCTGCCCAATGTAAAGGGGTAAATTTATGGAGAACATCAACTTCATTAATGTTAGCTCCACACTCCACTAGCTCTGAAAGCTGCTTTATATCTCCAGCTCGCACTGCTTCATGGATGCTACCAAGATGCCCCGTCTTTCTGGAACCTAGTGATGAATTAAATTGCTTAAAGTACAGAACTATGAAAAAAAAAAAAAAAAAAAAAAGGATGACAGCTATGATTCAAGAGAAAGCACAAAATCACTTCAGAGTTCCAAATAATTTGCTTCAAAGATATTTGCAATTAGCATCTTAACCAGACTTCTGGTTTTAGCTCTGATCAGTAAAGACCATGAAGAGCGACACAACACAACCATCTTTACAAGAAAAAAAAACTAACTTTATTGAAAACCACCAAATTTTCTCAGATTCCCTCCCCACAAAAGAAATGAGGTCTCTGGGCAAACTTCCATTCAAAATCTGGGGAGACTAGCAAGCACAGTAGTCAGGTTCACCTTACCTGGAGCAAAAGATGCTGAAACCATAAACTAGTAGAAGCACTCCAACAGTGATTCTGACTACTTGTCCCAGCTGAGTACAACTAACCTAAAATGGGAAATTCCTAACCCCTGTGGCCATGGAAAGCCTACACTTTGATACAATGACCTTCAGAAACCCATTCAAGGTATCACCCTAAAAAACCAAAACTATCACCTCATGTCTTTAGCAAGGGTTGGTTGGGAAGATTCACCAAACTCTGGAGCTCAAGCAGACTTTGTGCCTCAGCCTCCCAAGTAGCTGAGACTAGAGGTACATGCCACTATGCTTGATAGAATGTCAATTTCTTAAAGAGTAGAATCATGTCATACTAAAACCATAACTTATAACAAAATATATGCATTCAAAATTCCTTACCAAGGGGCCGGGGAAATGGCTCAGTAGAATAAGTGCTCGCCTGGCAAGCACAAGAGCCTGCGTTCAATCCCCGGTTCCACCAAAAATAAAATAAAATAATCCTTAGCAAAATAGTATATAGGTATTCAAAAATCCTTCCTGACTTAGGTACCGGGTAGTATAACAACGTAATAGAAAATAAGACATGGATTTAAAATATTTTCTTTACACCAACAAGTAAGCGTCTATTTGGATAAACACAACAGGAAAAATTGCTGGGTATGGTGGCACAGGCCTGTAATCCCCGCACTCGCAAGGCCGATGGAAGAGAACTGTTCTGAGTTTGAGGTCAGCCTGGGCTACGTACGTTGTGAGTTCACGACCAATCTGAACTGCACAGCAGCGAGACCCTGCCTCAAAACGACAAAAAAGAAAAAGAGCCAACAGAGCGCCCGACTCACCGGAGCCCGCAGCCTCCCGAGAGGGGGCGGAGC